ATGTCTACTGAAAGAAACAACATCTTCGTTTAGCCACATTTTTATTCTTAAAAATCACTTTGAATAAACGGTCAGAATTATAAAAGCCCAGGAGGGAGTCGGAACTCTATTAAACTTGAATTTAAAACCCGTAAAGAAAATAGACTATGTTTTTCAGAAAGGCAAGATCTTCCCCCAGAGTTGTAGCCGTTATCGGAATAGAGGGGTATGAGATCGAGGTCCTTTCAGAGGTATAAATAGTTAGTCTTTAATAATTGACAAACCTTGATAAACACGCGCGAGATAATCATAGAATTCATAGCAGTCTTTTGTTTCTTTGAGCCAAACGTTAGAAGAGTGATGCTTATAGGAGCGTAAAGAACAATATTACTTCTTAAAGTTAAGAGATTTAAATTTAAATTTTTAAAGTTAAGAAATTTTATTTGTGAGCCCCTCTATCAGCGTTCAGCCAAAATTAAAAAGCAGGAGCCGGATGGACCATCATTGATAATTCATGTAAAATTTTCACCTGCCTTTTTCAGGCTATTTAACAGTAGCAAAATTAATTCCTTTGTGGAAACGTACGAAATTTTTTCCTTTTAATAGTGGGACAATAACTTTTGGCACCCAGCTGTAAGTATCTTTATTTTGGTGATGACAACTTCCATTCTTTGTTTCTGCTCTCTTCCGTTTCAAATTATGAAGTTTAATTGTATTCAGTGATAAAAAGGTGAAAGTCTTCACCGCGTATCGAGGAGCAAAGCCAAAATTGGAAAGTCAGAGGAGACCGGAAAGAGGAGGTAAGTTGAGATAATTCCTATTTGGACAGCCAGCTCAACAAGATAAAATCTGTTTTTAATCTAGATAAAAACGTTAATATAACTGTTTGCGTTTAAGCATCCAATGCCAGTCGAATGACCAGTTTATGTAGGAAAATTTTCACAGGACTTTAACAACGGCGGAGTAGAAAGCTTTAGGTCACCAAACCAAATACAAGTACACTCAAGGTATATTATAAAAGGGAGAAATCTTAAGATGAAAATAATATCACGGTTTATCTATTAAATTAGTAGAGTGATTTTACAGAAAATGCTGTGCAAGGTGCAAGGTGCAAGCATCATTTCCTTCCCCATAATTCTTCTCAAGGAAAACCGTGAGACGCCATGTAAAGTGTGGAAAGGGATTTGAAGCTAAATTTACTCAAGTCACTCCCTAATCACGAAGCGCACTCTAACTCTTAGCTATAATTATTATGAATTTCCCGTTGGCAGTTACCAGACTGAAGAAATCATATCAACAATAAATTGTTTTGGAAAGAAACATTATCTAACCAATTCATGTTTACATCTAGGTTTAAGTGTGATTCATCAGACATCGTTCATAACGCATATGCCGGCTTGAAAACTTTCTTACATCACATGACTTTCTATCTTAAAGATCGATATATTTTACGCAACTTTTCGCAATAAAATGGGTGGAAAAATTTGGAGAGAGAACTTTAGTGTTTTTGTTGAATGTCATCTATGTGAGAGTTTTCGCGCACATCTGAAGCATCTGGTATTTGCGAAAAGGTTCTATTTGTTTATCGCATGTTATATACATTATGGCGAAAGATCACAATGGTCTAAACAGTAGTCCAGTATTGAATGTCTAATTCAATGTCACTGAGTTTCTTTTGGTAAGTAGTTTTTATATATGTTGTCAGTTGTCACGGGACTCCAACTTTTATTATTTTTTTTATGCTTCAGATCAC